TTCCTGCTTGAGTCACTTGACACCTAAGAGTTGATTTCAACCTGTAGCCCCACAAGACCAAAGAGACGCTCTGCACTGAAGATAAATTGAAGTGTTCACGGAATTTGTAATGCCCTATAAATCAGTGTTTCACTAAATAACACCTTCTTAGTCAACTAGACAGTTCAGAAAGTAAAGAAGGAAAAAAAATTAACAGATACTTGACCTTTATGGGTACAACAATCAATTATGCCCAAGCCAAGATGCTAAGGTAATATACATGTGATTACAGCACTTTCAGTCTTCCAGAAAACATAACCCCTTACTCTCCCAGGGCTGTGCTTCTTTTTACTAATTCAGAACACGCCACAGTCCATCAGGGACTGCTTAGCTACCACTCAGCACTGCAATCTCCAAGAAGGATTAAACTGCTCAAAAATGGAATAAACATTCAAGGCAAGGAAAAACTAATGGCAGAGGCTTTCCTCAACGGCCATCTCTCTCTCACATCTGCAGCCGAATACCAGAGCTTCCCTGGTGTAAATGCACACAGACTGCCTCCTGCACAGATACGCACGTGCTTGTCTTCCCACGATGCTTCACACTGCCAACTGACAAGTTACTGCCTCTCACTGATCCTGACCATCAACCTATGACCTTTATTATCTCATTTTAATGCACTTGGGGCCAGCAGATGGCGCAGTGATTAAGGCGCTGGACTCCCACAGTTCATATCCCGGACCCCGCAGCATGAAACTCAGGCCAGGTGCATGTGCATGTGTACTCAAAAATCCCAACAGGAGAACAGAGGAGAAGAGATTGTGGTATGGCCAACCCTGCTTGGGGGTTAGAGGGTAGTGATTTCTTGCTTTCTATCTCATGGTCTCTGTCTCTCTGACAAGCACACGTGCCCTATGGCAAAAACTCTCAAACAAACAAACAAAAATTTCAATTTTGATGCACTTACCTTGCTTATTTCCCAGAATGTTCTGAGACCTAGTAAGATCTCTTCTTTGCTCTTTGGCTCAGGCATTTTTAGATGCTGGCTGTTCATCTGCTTGCAGCCCTCCTGACTGGGTTTCTGGATCTACCTGCCAAACAACTGCTGCCTAGCCCTGGCTTACCACACAACTTTGGTCCAAGACAGCTAGTTTTGGACCTCCATATTTCTTGAAGATCTGTCATAACCCTGGCATGCCATCTGCTCTTACCGGTTCTTTCCTTTAGCTACAAGGTGATTTTTGCCTTGAAAAGGAATAGGAAAACAAATCCAAAAAAGTTGGTTCACATTCCGGTTTAGCTTCCTAAAAGCTACCACGCGAGACATCTATACGAAGTTCCCCCTTATCCTTGGGCTGCTTTGCCATAGTTTCATTTAGCCACAGTCAAAAGTGGTCCAAAAATTATTAAACGGGAAATTCCAGAAAAAAATTAATGCGTAAGTTTTAAATTGTACACCATTGTGAGTGGCATGATGGGATCTCTTGCCATGCCCCTCGTCCTGCCTGGGACAGGAACCATCTCTCTGTCCAGCATACCCACACTGTATGTGCTACCCACAACGCCTGTTAGTCACCTCGAAGCCATTTCAACGGTCCGCTCAACTGCCACAGGGCTCGTGTATGAGTACCTTACTTCATAAATTAATTTATAAATTAAACTTTACGTATACACGTAGAGGAGAAAATCACAGCCTTTACAGTCTTCAGTGGAACCTGTGGTTTCAGGCATCCACTGGGGGTCTTGGCTAAGGGGGGGACTAGCATACCGCGTTACTAAAGCAGCACAAGGGGAGATATTATAGATGGGCTCACTCTCGTGGGTCTCTAGACTCATGAGAGTGGGTCTACCTAGAGACAAAATAAATCTACCCCAAGGTAATCACCAACCAACCAATGTGAACAGATATCGGATCCCTGAAACAATCCAGTTAATGCTTTCTTTGCGATTCTTACCCGTTGCAAAAACTCAGTGGGACTGTATTTGGGTCCCAAGACAAAGATTTTCTTTCCTCTCCTGGCTACGCCACTGAACACGCGAGCAAACGCAATGAAAGACTCTTGGTGCTGTTCTTCTTGGGGCACAGGTTTAGCGGCCGTGCTCTCCACCTGCTGCTCATCGCCTGCCAGAAACAAAAGGATAATGAGTGCCAGGAGAGCTCTTTTGGCCCAGGGACTCCTGGGAACACCCGGGGAACGGTGAATACAGTATGTCTGGCCCGACTTCAGGAACAAAGCATGAAGATAAAGAATGTTGAGAAAAGCTACTACCTATTTATTTACTTACATTAAAGCTAAGAGCTTAAGGGCTAAATGATGAGGGTCCTGAGTTAAACTAAAGTCCACCACTTGGCACTGAAGCCTATTGGGGAAAGCTGTACCTCTTGGCTCTTCTCCCTTTGGACTTGTTTCAAGGTCGTCCCCGTCCTGGGCAGGCTCCGAGGCTGCCTGCCCCTGCGCCGCGAGCTTCTCTGCATGCCTCTGTCTCGCGCGCTCACGTCTCTGAGCGATTTCTTCTTGAGTGAGAGGCCTGCGGGACATCACAGATACGGTATCATCTGGCGCCATCACGCGTCTCTCAGTTCGTTCAAGCAGAGAGATAGCAAGTACTGACATGGTTGGAGAGACTGCTGACCAGTCCCCGCTCCCTTGCTAAGAGGTTTCTCTAAGTTCCTTCCCTAGCTGTGGCAATAGGAGAGAGGCCTACCAGGCGCTACGTAACAGGTTATCAAAACAGGGCGACCACCCTAGGCTGTCGGTGAGGGGATCTATACCGCGGCACTGGAAGGACTGAGGACCAAGCTCCTCTTTACAGAAACCCCCCAATAGGAAAAGGCCTAGCAAATGCACATGAACTTGCTTCACAGAAGTCAGGCACGGCTGCTGTCTGTCCCCTAGAGCCACACCCAACAACCTAGGACCCCTTCCCCTTCTTCCGAGTCAGCTGCACTCAAGCAGTTCCCTCACCCGTTTCTTCCCCAAGGTGAACACTTCAGCTGTTCCTTCAACCAACCCTCGGGTAACTTTCTGTATTTCTAAACTCCTGTTTAAAACTCGTAAGAAGACACAAACACAAGTACAAGGGAACCAGCTAGGAAGCCGCTGCGATCATTTCCACAAGAGATGATGGGCTCTACACTAGTGGGGAGGCAGGATGGGTGAGGAGGAGGGATACCTACGGGAGACGGATGGCGTTGAACAGATTCCCCGAGACTCTAGAACTTGAGAAATCACCCCTCCCCGACTCCCACACGTCTGCACACACACACTACACGGAGCGGCAGAGATGTGCACACGCTCGCCACCTCCACCGAGGCAGTCAGAGTGGGCCGAGACAGGAAGGCCTGCATGAGCCTTCCCTGATGTGTTCAACAAGAGTGAGCTGTGGCCACGTTGCCGTTACCGCTTCTCTTCAAATTTACAGCAGTTCAGATCAACACCGGAGCGGACTTAAACGACCTTCACCTAAGGACACATGACTGTCCAAACCGCAGGTAACCCTGGGGGGGCGGGGGCGCGGGCCCAAAAGCGTTCTGGGTGGAGGAGCAAAGGCAGTACCTGTGGCCTTCCACTCACACCCAGTGACACCCCCCAAACACGGCACCCCTAGCCCAGCCCACACCCCCTTGTCCTTACCGTGGCTTGTTCTGAGGCAGGGCCTTGGCGTCAACCGCGAACATTTTGGAAACGAAGATGATGACCGGAGCAGTGTCCTCTCCTCCACATTTCATAAACGCTAAACAGCAGGAAGTACAAATGTCACATTTTCCCCACTACTTAACAAAAGAAATTCTGGGGGCCAGCTGACGGTGTAATGGTTACATCACTGGACTCCCACATAGTCGACCACGGTTCGATTACTAGACCTGGTGGCTTAAAACTCACTCTGGGGGCATGTGCGTGTGTGCCCAAGATTTCGAGAGGAGAGTGGAGGAAAGGGGATTGCAGTGTGGCCACCCCACCTGGAGAACAGCAAAAATCTCTTAAAACAAACAAACAAACAAAAAAACAAAAAAAAAAAAGAAAATTTCCTGAAAGATATGTAGAAATAGCATCATCTAAATACATAAGAAGTCCGTAACTTTTCACAACTGGGGTGGAAATGCCATCTAGAAAATAGAAGATTGCTAGGGAAGAACAGGAAGGAAAGCAAGAGCAGAGTTAGCAGAAATGAAGAAAAAAATTAATGGGGTGGAGGGTCTGCAGACAGCTGTGGCAAGAGGGCGTGGCCCACCGGACGTATGAGTCTACCTCAAAGCTCACGCCAGGGAATGAGTTAATCACCCACCATACTTAGCCCTAATAACATTTTTTCTATATCCGGTGGAGAATGGAAAGAATGAAGAAGTACTATGAAAGGTCACCAGTCAATAAGGTAGCCTGTTAATAAAATAAACAAAAATAAACAGCTTTTCCAACGCTCCACAATAGCAACTTGAGAAAGAACATGAACATATTACACTGAGATAGTAACGAAATCCTTAGAAATAAAGATTCCACACTATAAAATTATCAGCTCTCCCTAAATGCATACATTTTAATACATTTTATGTCATGATAGTGACACAACCAGTAGTAAGTGGTTTTTTCTAAAAAGAAAATCCACCTCATCACCCCATATTAAAATAATCTGTACACAAAGAATTCAATGGCAAAATTCTAGTAAGACGAAAATGACAGGAAGACAAACACACTTCAGAAGACTTGCCAGCACGGTATTTGAAAAGCTGGGAGAAGTGAGGACCCTGGTCACCATTTTAACCGGCCCGCTCTGGCTGGAGAACATGGAAGGGACTCAAGGACAGAGGCTGGGACATACTGAACGGCGGAAAAACTGCTACAGCAACCGAGTGAGACGTGAGAGTCGCCGGGCAGGGAGGGGCGGGAGTGGCAACGCTGGGAAACATCTGGCATATTTCAGAGGAAGCACACACAGCACCTGCTGATGGACTTACTGCAGGGTGAGAGAGAAAAAGAGCAGCAGATGCCTCCACAGTGTTGGGACCCACGAAATGAGAGAACGGAGGTGCCTTCAACGGACCCGGGAATGGTAAGGAGAGATCAACGCTAATGAATGGAGGTAAAACCGAGGAGGTGCAAAGACGAAGCCTTGGCTGGGGCGCCTCAGAGTTTGGAAGTCTGGGAGATGGAGAGGAACCAGAAAGAGACTAAGCATAAGCTAAACCGGGGCGGCGGGTGGTAGCGGTGATGGCGGGGAGAAGCCAGGGAGACAAGAAAAGCAGATGCACGGGGAAGCCTGAAAGTTGGAGAAGAAAGTGTTCAAAGGAGGAGGGATGATCAGCTGTGTCAATAGTGATGATAGACCCACTCAGACGAAGACCGAGGACAGAGGACCGGCCACTAGATTTAACAAAGCACGAGTCACTAGCGACCACAAGAGTGGTTCTGCAGGACAGGAGTTCCAAGTACCGCAGAAGGGAAGGCAAAGAGAGAGATCGTGAATACACACAGGTCAATTTCATGGAGCCTACAGAGGCCCAGATAGCGGTTCCCACCCTCACGGGGCAGGTGTGTGCAGGCTTCTCATAGGCGGCATAGCCCCTGGAGCCCCATCCCAGTCTCTAGGGACACGGTCACAGCAGTGATGCCACAGCTCAGGGAGCACACTCCTGGCTGTTTGGGAGAACAGAATAGGGTGGGATTATGGAATGAGATCAGGGCAGGAGGGAGGAGTCTCAGAGTCTGTTTCTCCACTCCGAGACTGGCCGAGCAAAATGACTAGAGCAAAATCAAACTTTGAGAAAGAAAAAACCCAAACTGGTAAGAGAGCCATTCGTGAAGTGGTTCCTTCACTGAACTGTACATCTGGCCAAGTGACATTCAGCAAACTGGTCCAGATCGGCCTAGGCCGAGGACACGCCGTAGCACGGTGCAACTCAACACGTCACCCATACCTCACCTGCTTTCAGAGCTTGAGTTTCTGGGGGAAGAGAGTCAAAGGTCTGCGATCCCGTGCACATCAGCTTCTCCACCCTCTCCGCAGGGATATCCAGGGGACTCGGCAGTTTCTGACACACCATAGCTGAAGTCTGCTGTTAAGGACCTAAACCTTGGGTCAGTACCCGCTCTTGAGGCTGAGACTCACTGTCTGCGTGAAATACCAAAGTAACAACGTCACGTCCACACAGAAGATGCCCAGACTACACAGCCAACACGGTCTTACGCATCACACCCCACATATGCATACAATTCCAGGGAGCTCACGGACTCCCTCAATCTCAGACACGCTTCTCACCACGTATTCCAACACCAGAGCTTAGCAAGGGGTCTGTTACCTTTTAGATGACATGGTGATCTAACCCAAATATCTAAAATTGTTATTTCTATACAAACCTTTTTTTTTGGGGGGGGAGAGGTTTTTGCTATAGGGCGCGTGCGCTCGCCAGACAGACAGACAGACAGAGACAGAGAGACAGAAAGCGAAAAATCACCCCCCGGGGGGATGGCCACACCGCAATCCCTTCTCCTCCATTCTCCTCTTGGGATCTTGGGCACGCACGCACACGCGCCCGGCGTGAGTTTTAAGCCACCGGATCCGGGACACGAACCGCTGTTGACTACATGGGAGTCCAGTGACATAGCCATTATGCTAACTGCTGGTCCCAATTTCTATACAAATCTTAATGTAAGCATTTTTATCTTTACAGACTACTAAACTATTGGGTTGTCGGAAAAGTCATGATGTATTTTTTTCTATGCAAAAATGCACCATGACTTTTCTGACAACCCGACAGAATGAAAAGGTGTCTTCTTAAAAGACCAATAATTAGGATTAATAGTAATGACTAGTATCAGTCGATTAATCTTTCAAGTATTAAGTACAGTTTCCTCGTAGAACACAAAGTTAGCACAGAAGACTTACTCGGGATTGAAATGCGTCATTTCCAAAGGGTCTCCTGGTTGCCAAATAACTCATTGTTTTTTCTTGTTTTATCATAATTATTTCATCAAAAACCATCAAAAATAAAGGATACCAAGGACAGCGTGGGATATGGGGAGCCACTGGCTACAGATGGCGTTGATCTGAACTTTCGGGTCTGAGTGTCGGGCCTCCCGCGCTCCAATCTTTAATCCCAGAGAGGTCACTATTTTATCAATCTTTTCCTTGTCCCTATAGAAAGCAAAAGATTGGACAGGGGGAAAAATGTTATAAACAGATATGAACAAGTGGGGAAAAAAAAAAAAAACCACGTTATTTGATACTATTTCCCCCCACTTTCTCAAAAAGGAGGTAAAACTGAGGGACCCCTGCTGCAGTGGGAAGTTCCACACCACCAGCTCTGACACGCCCGAGTGAACCTGCGTCAACACTCGCCACACTGCTCCACGAGCTCTGCCAACTGGGAGCGCGGTTTTATAAATACACGCTAAAAGGTAAGTACTGCACCTCTGAGCAACTTCAAAAGTAAATTCACTGACACGAGCCCCCTTGTCCATTTAGACCAGGCACGTTCCTTCCCAAGTTCCCCATTCGTGACCCCTTTCCTACTACAGTCACCATTTCCTAAACCTGCTTTGTAAAAATAAAGGCCCAGTATTTCCCTCCATCCTGTTATCTCTTCGCCTCAGCACTCAATAAACTAGTGCTGCCTGCCTCCTCCTGTCACCCTTTATTTGAGTATCACTTACTCCTTTCAATTGTCCGAGCCCCGTAATCAACTCATCTGCACAGGCAGTGTTCACGCGCTCAGTCCAGCTCAGCTCCCTGAAGCGTGACTCATCAAACACCCTGTCCCAAGAAGCCCCAAGGTGAGCAATTTTACTACAGTCTTACTTTTTCAAGACAGCATCATACAAACTCCATATATTTTCCAGGATCAACTGTACAAACAAAGGTTTCTTTCCTTTAGCCTGTACAAAAGAACACATGAATTTAAGTTCCTGAACATTTGATAGGCATTTTATATATTCATTCTCGGCATGTTTCATTTCTATTTGAAAATATTCAACAGTAAGGTAGATGAAAATAGTTACACAAAGACTCTAAACAGGGGTCAGCCAGGTGGCATGGTGGTTCAGGTGGCTGGACCCCACATGGCCAACTGCACAGTTCGAATCCAGTATCTGGTGGCTTGAAAAACGGGCAGATGTGCGTGCCTGCCCCAAGTCCCAGGAGGAGAAGGGATAGTGCACAGCCACCTTCCCTGGGGAGTGATCTCTCACCTTCCCCCCCTCATTTTCTTCCCATTCCTCCCACTGTCTGCTCTGCCCTAGAGCAAAACCAAACAGAACAAAACAAAATGCCATAGACAGGCAATACCCTCCAATCGGCAATAACCCACCGGTCCTTTCTCTTGGAAACCATGAACTTGGTTACTGATGTGACCATCTGGGGGACACATAACTGCAGGTGGCTCACCACTACTGTCAAAGAAGCGCACATAATGCCCAAGCTGAGAGCTCAAACTTCACTCTCCACAAACAGGTTCTTTCTATAAACTATTTGTATTTCTAAAGAAACACCAAATGTTCTTGAAAACACAAGAAAATGGAGTTAGCATGTGGTGCGGTGGTTAAGGCGCTGGGTTCCCACATGGCTGACAAGGGTTTAAGTCCCAGACCTGGTAGCTTGAAAATCACGCCAGGAGTATGTGTGGGTGCCCAAAATCCCAAGAGAAGAATAGGGGTGAAGGGATTGCAGCATGGCCATCTCTCCAGCAACAGTATTACAAACTAAAGGTCACCGCCTTTGAATGTCTGACTAAAAAAAGTCATCAACAAAAACTTTGTGCACAAAGAGGTTTTACACAGCTTTATCTACAGTATCAAAACATTTGCGGGACCAGCAGATGACGTAACGGTTACGTCACTGGGCTCCCACAGTTAACCGTGGACCTGGCGGCTTAGACTCAGGCTAGGTGTGGGTGTGAGCACGCCCAAAATTCCAAGAGGAGAATGGAGGAGAAGGGACTGCGGTGTGGCCATGCCCCTGGGGGATGATTTTGCACTTTCTGTCTGTCTCATGAGTACACATACGCTATAGTAAAAACCTCTCAAAAAAATTTTTTTTGAAAAAAATCAACTATGCCAATATTAGGAGAATAATTACATAAATCAGCTCTCACAAAATAAAATAATAACAAAATGCTTTTTAATGATAGGGATAGTTCTAGAGACTACTTGGATTATTACAATCAGTGGGAAATTAAACCGCAATGCTGGAGGCCAACCAACCACAGGTTCAGATCCCCAAATGGGCCTGAAACACGCTGGGTGCAAGCACATCAAACAAGATGTGAGAAGCTGGCGGGCTGGGGGAGGGGATCACGACACGACAAGACCCTGCTGAGAGTGGTTCGCCCCCTCCCTCTCATGCCTGCACATGCTCTGTCTTTCATGAATAAACTTAAAAAAAGAGAGAGAAGTCTTCGACTAAAAAAAATTTAAATACATAGTTGACCCTCAAGCCATGCTCTTTCCCACTTAACTATACTCACTCTTTTTGAGAGTTTTTTTTTTCTTTTTTTTTTTTTTTTTGCTATAGGCCACATGTACTCACCAGAGAGAGACAGAGAGAGACACACATAAATTAAGAAATCACCCCCCAGAGGGGATGGCCATGCCGCAATCCCTTTTCCTCTTGGGGTTTTGGGCACACACGCACATGAGCCTGGCATGAGTTTTAAGCCGCCGGGTCTGGGACTCAAGCCACAGCTGGGAGTCCAGCAACGTAACCATTATGCCACCTACTGGTACCATACTCTTTTTTAAAAAATTTATTTAATTTTATTTTTATTATTTTCAATTTGCTATAGAGCATATGTGCTAACCACAGAGAGACAGAGACAAAAAGAGAGAGAGAAACCAGGTTGATCCCAAGCAGATCCGGGACTTAAACCACAGTCAGTCACATGGGAGTCCAGCGCCCTAACCACTACACCACATGCCAGGCTCAATACTCGATCTCTTTTAAATATGCTATTTATAAGAAGTTTTCAATGGCAACAGAAGATGTTCATAATATGATTTAAAGCCAGAAGGCAGCTAACAGTATATTACCACTATCATCTCAACTGAGGAATGAAAAATACATATATAGGGATAAAAATGTGTGTGTGTGTGTGCGTGAGTGTGTGTGTCTAAGAAGAATGAAAGAAATTAAAGCTGTATCATTAGCAGCATTGGCTCTTGATTTATTATTTTTTCTTTCTGTAGCCTTATACTGTGAATATAATCGAAAATTGATAAAGATACGATTTTCAATTAGAATAAGTTAATAAAACTCCGAATTTTGCATTAGAAAAAGCAAAGCTTCAGGGAATGTATGCACTGAGGCCACAAGACTTCAGTCGTCCTATGTCACTTCTACATATAGAGGAATGGGTTTCTGAAAGCACATGGCTGCCCTGTTCCACAAGCAGTGCGTGGTGACCAGCGCACAGCGAGACCAGGCCTCATCTGAGACTGAAGTAACGTGTCAACCATACAGTAACATCTAGAAGAGACAGCTCTTTAGGGCTAAGGGGACAAATGCATAATATAAAATACGTCTTCGAGTATCTGGAATCTGACACTTTTGCTGCTCTAACAACAAAATGTACTTCTTTGCTCCCTACATGTATTTAAGAGTTAAGAATTCTATTATAGGGACCAGCAAATGGCCTAATGGTTACGTCACTGGACTTCCACATAGTTGGTTTGAGTCCTGGACCTAGCAGCTTAAAACTCATGCCAGGCACATGTGTGTGCGTGCCCAAAATTCCAAGAGGAGAACAGAGGAAAAAAGACTGTGGCATGGCCATCCCCTTTAGGGGGAGTGACTTCTCTTTCTGTCTCTCTTGTCTTTCTGGCAAATGCACATGCCCTATAGCAAAAATCTCTCTATTCAGGGAATGTATGCACTGAGGCCACAAGACTTCAGTCGTCCTATGTCACTTCTACATATAGAGGAATGGGTTTCTGAAAGCACATGGCTGCCCTGTTCCACAAGCAGTGCGTGGTGACCAGCGCACAGCGAGACCAGGCCTCATCTGAGACTGAAGTAACGTGTCAACCATACAGTAACATCTAGAAGAGACAGCTCTTTAGGGCTAAGGGGACAAATGCATAATATAAAATACGTCTTCGAGTATCTGGAATCTGACACTTTTGCTGCTCTAACAACAAAATGTACTTCTTTGCTCCCTACATGTATTTAAGAGTTAAGAATTCTATTATAGGGACCAGCAAATGGCCTAATGGTTACGTCACTGGACTTCCACATAGTTGGTTTGAGTCCTGGACCTAGCAGCTTAAAACTCATGCCAGGCACATGTGTGTGCGTGCCCAAAATTCCAAGAGGAGAACAGAGGAAAAAAGACTGTGGCATGGCCATCCCCTTTAGGGGGAGTGACTTCTCTTTCTGTCTCTCTTGTCTTTCTGGCAAATGCACATGCCCTATAGCAAAAATCTCTCTAAAAAAAAAAAATTCTATTATATAAACAATCCTTAGATATAAGACTTGTAAGCCTTAACCAAATACACATCGGTGAAAAGTTCCTCATGAACTCACCTGCATAAACCAAAGCTGAATTTAATCTACTTAAGCCTTCACAGTACAGGCGTTCATAGGGCAAGAATGTCACCGAAAATCAAAAGGGACACCACCAACCACATTACCTGATCGACCTTCATAATCTTCTTAGCCTTCATATTTATGTAGTAATCTCCCCACAAGGTTTTCAAAAGAACTTCCTTTTTGATGCCAATTTTCTGACTGTAGATTGTGGCAAACTGTTCAATTCTGGAAGAAAAGAAAGTGTCCAGGGTATTAACAACAAAAATAAGTATAAGCACAGCTAACACTTCAGTGTTTCTGTGTCAACTACTGTTCACAGCTCTGGGTATGGATTACTAAACTTAATCATCCCAAGTATCATACAACCTTCTCTCGTTTTTACAGAAGATACTGGAGCACAGAGGTATTACACAGAACATAATTTGGAATTCAAACCTAAGCAGTCTGATCCAAATTCCATGTGCTTGTCCAATACTCCTTACACTGGTAGGAATTGGAGTCCATGCTGTAATTCCCTTTCTTAATTTTGCACATGTAAAACAAGGTAAAATGGACACAGGCCAGGGAAATGCAGGCTCCAACTGCCCATCACGATGATCCCAACAGTAAACCATATGTCAGTTTTTCACAACCACAAAGTGACGGCTGATTAGCAAGGAAATCAACGCACGAACGTACACCCGTGGGCTTGCGGAGCCATCTTCCAAATTCTGGTATGTGTTCATTTTCCACCTTTTGTGACGTACGCACAGCTGCCAACTTTCCCTAGCCACTGACCTCTCAGAGGAAAATTGGAAGGGAAAGGTGTTGGTGCTTTCATTTCTGCCACCATTTCCCCACAAATTAACACAACTTATTAAGAACCAGGCAAAGCTGATCTCGAAACCGGATCTGGACTAACACAGGAGAACACTGACGGATGATATCTATGAAGGAAAGGGTCAAAGGTGGGAAGGCATACAAAGCTGCCCTTATCCTCCTTACTCAAGCCTCTCCCCATTCCTTCTCCCTCCACAATAAACTTTCTCTAATTTGTGAGCTTTTGACTGCCATTAGCATAGAACACTTAGATTACTTGTGAAAATCATTATAAGAAAAGGACATGCCCCCTGCCTTGTGGCTTATTAGCAAAGAGCTCACAAATGAAGTAATCAATGGGTCTGACCCTGTTATATGACTGAATGAATCACTTGTAGCTTTTAATAGCAAGAAATTCTTAGACATCATCTTAGCCCAATTTTTTCAGTTTTCAGGTGTTTTATTTGGGGTGGGAAAGAAGCAGGTGTGGCTGTCTAAGGGCAATGTGAGGGGTCCTTGTGAGGGGAATGTTCTGTCTTGACAGTCAATGTCAATGTCCTGGTTGTGACCCTGGACTGTAACTCTGCATGATGTCACCATAGATAGGTCACTTGATGAAGGTACAAGAGAACTCTTGGTATCATTACTTATAATTTTATGTGACTCTGCAACTATGTCAAAATATTGGGTTGTCAAGAGTCATAACATGCTTTTCTATGTAAAATGTGTCGTCCTATTTCCGACAACCCAGTAACAAGTTTAACCTGGGCCAGCCCATGGCATGGTTAAGGCAGCTGGATCCCACATGGCCAAGTACACAGCTTGAGAAATACACCTGGCACGTAGGCATGTGTGCCCAACTCCTGAGAGGAAGGAGAGAGGGGTAACGGATTGCGGGGTGACCGTGCCCCTTGAGGGAGCTTTCTCACTCTCTTCCTCCCTCTCCCTCTGTCTCTGTTCTCTCCAGTGAGCACATGCACCCTCTGGCAAGGAAAATAAATAAATAAATACGTTAACTAAAACATCAGTTATACGCAAACGGCCTTACCCGAAGCCCCAGCCGTCTATCGCGCTGGTGAACACCACATTGCCCTGCTCTGGAGAGAAGTAAAGGTGAGAGTCGTCCGTGTCCTCCAAGCCAGTGCTCCAGTCATACACCTGCTCGCCCTGCTCCGAATTTGGATGCACCTGAGACTCAGTCTCTCTCTCGGCTCTTTCTTCTAGGACTTTAGAAGTAAAAAGAGTTCCTGTGAGTGCATTAATCTAGGAGAGATGGTGAAATGGCAGAGTGTCACTGAGATGCTCAGCACGTGCAGGGCAGGAAGTGCCAGTCACAGCTTAGGATGTATCAGCACAATAGGCAAGGGTGACATTTACGATCGACAAATCACTTACGTATTATTAACCCATTCCTTCAAAACTCAGCGACGTTAAATGGTAAGGTTTTTATGATTATCATTAGTTTAATGTAAACGCTATCCTGTCATATAGCTGGTTCCCCACAGTGGGGCCTGGCACCGCTAGGAATCCATGGTTTCCAACTCCTACAGTCCTGTTCTGTAGCCTTGATCAACTCCCTTGCCCGTTCCTCACATTGGTTGTTCGAAATGTTCACCATCTCCAGACCCTACGTTCACTTCCACGGAAGTAACCTAGTTCCCACCAGAAAGGAAATGGAGGCTACTGCTCACGTTTCTGCCTGGTCCCTGTGTTCCAACCTATCAGCCCATTCACAGTCGCAAATAACATTGCCTGGTCCTCCCTGCAGCTCCTTGACTGCAACACTGTGCCGTGATTTTTCTCATCTTTATGACTCTGCACATCTTCTCACTCCTCTTTTGAACACCCCTAGTTCTCTACTTGACAAACACGTATGTGTTCCATCTCGAGCTTTCACTGCAAGACTTTTTACTAAGTTTCTTTTTCCCTTAACCCAGTGTAGCTTAGGTAGCTCTCATCTATGCTCCCGAATCAGGGCTGAAATTGTATTTCAAATACAATGAGTCTTCAAAAATTCAGAGGAGGGAACCAGCAGTTAGCGTAATGGCTATGTCGCTGGACTCCCACGTAGTCGACCGCGGTTCGCGTCCTGGACCCGGTGGCTTAAAACTCACGCCGGGCGCGTGTGCGTGCGTGCCCAAGATCCCGAGAGGAGAATGGAGGAGAAGGGATTGCGGCGTGACCATCCCCCCTGGGGGGTGATTTCTCGCTTTCTGTCTCTATGTCTCTCTCTGTCTGTCTGGCGAGCGCACGCGCCCTACAGTGAAAATCTCTCCAAAAAAAAAAAAAAAAAAAAAATTCAGAGGAAAAGTATATGGTGAAAAAATTGTGCACAGATCTTAAACATTTTTGGCATCAAAATAACTCATATTTTAATTCCATTTGTCCACGAACTTTTTTTTTTTTTTTTTTTTTTTAAGTTTTTGCCATAGGGCACATGTGCTCTTGGGAGAGAGACAGAGCAAGAAAAACTGAGAAACCAGGGGAGATGGCCATGCCACAATCCCTTTCTCCTCCATTCTCCTTCTGGGATTTTGGGCACTCATGTCCATCTGATTTTCAGGCCTCCGGATCCAGGACTCGAATCACAGTTGGCCATGTAAAACTCCAGCACCTTAAATACTACACCACCTACTGGCCCTGTCCACAAACCTGTTGAAACCCCCTCATAGCTCCTTTACTGTTTGTCTCCCCTACGACACTGTGTACTCTTTGAAAACAAGGACTTGAACCTGTTTAACTTCATAATCACAATTCCCAGCACACCACAGACAGCCAATGGTTCATTTAACATACACATACGTAAATATCTTCCGGATATATAAGTGAACGAGAGCACAGATAAAAATTCCATCTGAAGACAAGTAACAAGATACCTCCTAACACTGCTTCACTTTGGAATCGAACCGCTCAGCTTTAAAAAAAGAGCCTACCACCCAGCCTTCTACTGCTGGGTGCTTCCAGGAGACGAAGGGTTCTCCTGAGGGCACGCTGGCTCGGGTGCCTCTGTTGCAGCATGACGATTTGACGCATATGAATCCCAAGTGAAGTTCTAAATAAGTGAATTTTCTGTAGGAATACCTCATACCCAACTCACTAATTGTCTTATGACTCTTCTTTAAGCCCCAATTTTTAAACTACTAAAAAATAAAATACCTGTCCTAAAATATTCTTGAGGTGAGAATAGGCCTCCTGGGGGGTGAATTTCAGTTCCACTATCAAGCGATCTATCTTGTTAATCACTAAAACTGGACGGATGTTTTCAAGCCAGGCCTGTCGCAGAACTGCCTGTGTCTGAGAGAAACAGAAAGACAAATCTAAACATCATGATTTGCAATAATTAAAGCACACTTAAAAACACGAGTGATAACCAACATGTTCCCAAAGTCCCTCATTGTCACTCAGACGATGCCAGTCAGACACAGAAACCCACTAGGCATTCACCAAGTATGGAGCACAGGAGCAAAGAGCTCCAGGTGGGAGATCATCCTTGCCTTTAGGAACTGGCCGTTTATTTAAGGATAAATTAAAGCGTACAAAGACAGTATAGAGTCTGAAATGTGCTTGTATGTGTATGTCTATAAACGCACACACATGAACACGCACACGCAGCTGAATTACAAAACACTTGTTTTCTGTTTTTGTTTGTTTGTTTGTTTTTTTGAGAAGTTTTTGCTATAGGGCACGTGCGCTCACCAGAAAGACAGAGAGAGACAAAGAGACAAAAAGTGAGAAATCACCTCCCGGGGGGATGGCCACGCCGCAATCCCTTCTCCATTCTCTTAGGATCTTGGGCACGCACGCACACACGCCCGGTGTGAGTTTAAGTCACTGGGTCCAGGACTCAAACCATAGTCAACTACACGGGAGTCCAGCAACATAGCCATTATGCCAACTGCTGGTCCCACAAAACATTTGTTATTAGCACAGAAGTGAAAAATAAAACATTCCCCAGAGTATCTCCTGTGAATACTTTCCTGATCACTCTTCTACATTCTAAAGATGGTGTGTTCATTTCATTTTTCACATCACTTTTTTTTTTTTTTTTTTTTTAAGTTTTTGCCATAGGGCACATGTGCTCTTGGGAGAGAGACAGAGCAAGAAAAACTGAGAAACCAGGGGAGATGGCCATGCCACAATCCCTTTCTCCTCCATTCTCCTTCTGGGATTTTGGGCACTCATGTCCATCTGATTTTCAGGCCTCCGGATCCAGGACTCGAATCACAGTTGGCCATGTAAAACTCCAGCACCTTAAATACTACACCACCTACTGGCCCTGTCCACAAACCTGTTGAAACCCCCTCATAGCTCCTTTACTGTTTGTCTCCCCTACGACACTGTGTACTCTTTGAAAACAAGGACTTGAACCTGTTTAACTTCATAATCACAATTCCCAGCACACCACAGACAGCCAATGGTTCATTTAACATACACATACGTAAATATCTTCCGGATATATAAGTGAACGAGAGCACAGATAAAAATTCCATCTGAAGACAAGTAACAAGATACCTCCTAACACTGCTTCACTTTGGAATCGAACCGCTCAGCTTTAAAAAAAGAGCCTACCACCCAGCCTTCTACTGCTGGGTGCTTCCAGGAGACGAAGGGTTCTCCTGAGGGCACGCTGGCTCGGGTGCCTCTGTTGCAGCATGACGATTTGACGCATATGAATCCCAAGTGAAGTTCTAAATAAGTGAATTTTCTGTAGGAATACCTCATACCCAACTCACTAATTGTCTTATGACTCTTCTTTAAGCCCCAATTTTTAAACTACTAAAAAATAAAATACCTGTCCTAAAATATTCTTGAGGTGAGAATAGGCCTCCTGGGGGGTGAATTTCAGTTCCACTATCAAGCGATCTATCTTGTTAATCACTAAAACTGGACGGATGTTTTCAAGCCAGGCCTGTCGCAGAACTGCCTGTGTCTGAGAGAAACAGAAAGACAAATCTAAACATCATGATTTGCAATAATTAAAGCACACTTAAAAACACGAGTGATAACCAACATGTTCCCAAAGTCCCTCATTGTCACTCAGACGATGCCAGTCAGACACAGAAACCCACTAGGCATTCACCAAGTATGGAGCACAGGAGCAAAGAGCTCCAGGTGGGAGATCATCCTTGCCTTTAGGAACTGGCCGTTTATTTAAGGATAAATTAAAGCGTACAAAGACAGTATAGAGTCTGAAATGTGCTTGTATGTGTATGTCTATAAACGCACACACATGAACACGCACACGCAGCTGAATTACAAAACACTTGTTTTCTGTTTTTGTTTGTTTGTTTGTTTTTTTGAGAAGTTTTTGCTATAGGGCACGTGCGCTCACCAGAAAGACAGAGAGAGACAAAGAGACAAAAAGTGAGAAATCACCTCCCGGGGGGATGGCCACGCCGCAATCCCTTCTCCATTCTCTTAGGATCTTGGGCACGCACGCACACACGCCCGGTGTGAGTTTAAGTCACTGGGTCCAGGACTCAAACCATAGTCAACTACACGGGAGTCCAGCAACATAGCCATTATGCCAACTGCTGGTCCCACAAAACATTTGTTATTAGCACAGAAGTGAAAAATAAAACATTCCCCAGAGTATCTCCTGTGAATACTTTCCTGATCACTCTTCTACATTCTAAAGATGGTGTGTTCATTTCATTTTTCACATCACGACAGCTGAGACACTACCGAGACCAAGGCTGTCCTCCTGAGGCTGTGGTACCCGCACCCTTAGGGAACATCAGAGCAGAGGCTACTAGATAATCACAGTGCACCTTCTCAGAATATTAAGTTTCTTCTACTTGAGTAATTCACACATTTCAATTAAAAAAAACAAAAAACACTGACTACAAATGTGACATATTCTTCCTTTAAGATAAATAGGAGTTTTCAAAAAATAGTATTAAAAGCAATGAACATATAGAGCCAAGCTCAGTTCCATCCTCACTAGTTCTGTTCACCCTGGCCTTACCGGTGACCTTTTCCAAGTTTGGGGATGGATGAAAAAGAATGGAATCTCGTATGAAAGAAGACGAGAAAGCAGAAAGAAGGGGGACTGTGTGTATAAATAAACGGTGGAGGCAGAGGTGTAGACTAAGAAGAGAATTTCCCCTTTGCAGGAACTGGCTCAGTGTCTTGCTGTCAGTAACCTGACAGTTCAGCAACCTTTTCCATTAGAGTAAGACTCTGATACGCCCCCAAATACGCCCCAGTGTTTCTCCTATTTTTACTAAGTCCCTCTCTCTCTCTCTCTCTCTCTTTTTTTTTTTTTTTGGAGACATTTTTGCTACAGGGCACATGTGCTTGACAGAGAGACAGAGAGACAGAAAGCAAGAAATCACCCCCCAGGGGGGATGGCCACACCACAATCCCTTCTCCTCCATTCTCCTCTCGAGATCTTGGGCACACATGCACACGTGCCCGGTGTGAGTTTAAGCCACCGGGCCCAAGACTTGAACCGTAGTCGACTACGTGGGAGTCCAGTGACATAGCCATTACCCTAACTGCCGGTCCCCTAAGTCCCTCTCTAAGAGGATATCACAGACACTTCAAAGTACCTGAAGTTAAAATCATCATCTCTAAGATCCTTTCAAACCTGGAGAGTTAACTCTATCACAGACTGGAACATGGGAAAATGTGAACTTTTTTTCCAACTTTCTGACTGTTAGTGAAAAGTCTGAAGTGCGATACAGCTATCAACAGTCAATTAGCTCTTCCTCTTCCCACACCGTTTTTTTTTTTTTTTTTCAGAAGCTTTTGCTTTAGGGCATGTGTGCTAGCTGGACAAAGACAGAGAGTGTGAGAGGGAAAGTGAGAAATCGCCCCCCCGGGGGAGGTGGCCACACCGCAATCCCTGCTCCACCATTCTTTTCCTGGCATCTTGGACACACACGCACACGTGGCATGATTACGAAGCTGGTGGTTCCGGGCCTCGAATCGTGGTCGGCCATCTGGTAACCACTGCACCATCTGCTGGTCCCTTTCCCCACCTTCTTCAACCACTGACGTAGCGTCACACTACGATCCCCCACCTGTGGACAGACTCCTTCCACAGCATCTACCACGATGATGCAGCCGTCGCAAATGCGAACGGCTGTCGACACTTCCGAGGAGAAGTCCACGTGTCCTGGAGAGTCTATCAGATTGATCAGGTACTCCTCGTTACCTGAAAGGAAATTCAGTTGTGTGGGTACGTGAAACTCGTCCCAGCATTCTTCAATGAGAAAGCTTCCAAGAAAAGACTAAACAGAGCAGCCAAATGCTCGATCAGCAGCTATGGTTGTACTTTTCCCCTTTTTTTTTTTCAAGAATTACTTAATGTTATTATTATTTTAATATTTGGCATAGGGCATGTGTGCTCACCAGAGAGAGAGAGAGAGAAAGAGAGAGAGGGGGAAGGGAGGAAGCAAGCCACCAGGTCTGGGACTTGAACCACAGTCGACCATGCAGGAGTCCAGAGCCTTAACCACTACATTACCTGCTGGTTTCAATGATGTATTTTACTGTGGTTTTCTATGCAAAAATGCATCGTGACTTTTACAACAACCTAATGCATCTTTATTATTTTCTTCCAAATATAAAAGTAGACATTTCATACAAGATTTTCAAACAGTATAGAAATAAATATTCCAAACGGTGGAAGTTTCTCTGCAATCCATCCTCCAGGGCGACAGCAGTTACGGTTTAGCATGTGTCCTTCCGGACCCCTCGATGTGCTTGATGTGCACGTGCAACTGCTTTTTATTACTGGGACACTTTGCACCTCTCAAAACTCCTCTGCAATTTGCTTTTTAATCTCTTCACAAATTGTTTTTAAATTTCTACATAATTACACATAGGTCAAAGGTCTGTTTTAACAACCACGGAGTATTTCACAGCACGGATGTGTGGGTTTCGTAAATCCCTTTGAGGTGTTACTATCAAAATGACATCCTTGGGGCCGGCAGGCGGCATGGTGGTTAAGGCACTGGACTCCTACAAGACTGACCGTGGTCGAAGTGGACTTGGTGGCTTGCTTTCTCGTTTTCCCTTTCTCTTTCTCTGGTCAATGTCCTGGGTCTCCTGACCACCCCGTGAAGAAATCCACAGGGGATAGGGCTGAGTGGGAACTGTAGTGTTGCCCTCAGACCAGTCAGAGGTCCCCAAAGGCATCCGAGCCTGGGCTGCCTGACTGACCAGAGATCATCTGGAGAGGCCAGAATGAAACACGAGCAATACACAGCAAACAACTGAGGCATGTGATTGATTCACAGATGGAGAGGACACGAAAGAGGCAAAACCACTTTTCTTTAAGACGCAGTTGACTTACCTTTGGTGTAATGCAGTGAGATGGCGCTGGATTTCATAGTGATCCCTCGGACCTGCTCATCTTCCCTGCTGTCCATGTACCGTAACTGGAAAGAACAACGTATGCATCCTCACTTTCCGACGAATTAAAATGTCACAGTAAAATTGGCTCATTAGAATTTTGCTTTAAAATGTAACTGTAGAACCTCCTGCAACATTTTTTTAAGGGCCAGGGAACTGGAGAAGGGAAGGTGGTCTAGGGGAAGAGAAGAACACAGACAAATCGAAAGACAATGCCAGCAGTTCAAATGCACCTGGATGCCGCTTGCCCTACACAGAGCGTTACCCAGAACGAATGGGCCGAATGGGCCATCCAAGAGCAACTCACAGGAGGCAACGGCTGAGGGATTCCTTCTTTTAATCAAGAACGCACCATTCTTTTCCTAGTCGCAGGCTATCTGCAAAGTCTGAGCAGAACTGAAATAGAAGGTCTCTAAAAGCACGAGAAACCTTTACCTCTTTTCCTAAATTAACAGATTTTTAAACTTCAAAAGAATAGTGCAGTAAAAAATATAACATCACCATTTAGTTGGTGGCTTTCATAAAGCTTTAATACCCACAAGTAAGGGCCCGTATCTCACTCTCTAGGCTTTGCAAGGCTGATCAATACTGATAATGGCTTTATTTAACTTCTAGAAAATGGCTTGCATTTTTTCAAGAAATTTTTGTTAAGCCCAGGATCAGCAGGTGGCGTAACGGTTAAGGTGTTGGACTCCCACATAATCAGCCATCATTCAAGACCTGGACCCAGCCAGCGACTTGAAACTCACGCTGGGTGCACGTATGTGTGTGCCCAAAATCCCGAGAGAGGACTGGCAGAGAAGGAATTGCAGTGTGGCCATCCCCCTGGGGTGTGATTTCTTGCTTTCTGTCTCTCTGTCTCTCCAGCAAGTACATGCACCCTATAGCAAAAATCTCTCTTAAAAAAAAAAAAAGAAAGAAAAAGAAAATTTTTGTTAAGGTCAAAAAATTATTATGATATTTTCTAACTGTTAAAGTTTTGCCTTTCACATAGAAATGTTTGAATATGTACAATCAATTTCTGTATGAGGTGTTCAGTAGAGATCCAGCCTTTTTATCCTATGTGGATAACCGATTATCCAAGGACCATTTATTGAGAGGTTCATCTTTTCCCCACACATGTGAAATACCAGCTCTGTAAAGCAGAGCAGGCTCCCGTATACATGTGTGTGTTTCTAGGCCTACTACTCTGGGCTACCAGTCAAATTTACACCCTGGTTGATTGCAAACCACCAGTTATAATGCATTTATAATAAATCTTGCCATCTTGAAAGGCTTAGTCTGGGCTAGCACATGGCCTAATTGAGAGAGCTGGATCCCACACGGTGAACCATGCAGTTTGAATCCCGATCCCAGCAACCTGAAGAACCTGCTGGGTGCATGAGTGTGCATGCCCAAAATCCCAAAAGGAGGAAGAAATGGAGAAGGATGGACATCCCTTATGGTGTGCTTTCCTACTTCCCCCACCCGTCTTTCTCTCTCTCTGGAGGGCACTTGTAGCTTCCGGCAAATTTTTAAAAAGTTTTATAGTCAAGAGAATCATGAACTGTCTACATTCCTAGTACCTTTTTAAAAATTAGTACCTGTCTCATATTACATTTGTTAGTTAAGATTTCCAGAAATAAACTTCAGGCTTCACTGACCCTTTCTATTGTGGTCTATTTTCTACCTCCTTAATTTATGATTCATTATTTCCCCTTCTCTAATTTCTCAAGTGGGAAAAATTTCTCAAGCACTTCATTATGTTACTCAATCCAGTTTTTTTCAGCCTCCTCTGGACTGGACCAAGGATCACATGGAAACCTGGTAAAGCCTTCCTCTGGGTGTGTCAGTAGGGATGGTTCCAGAAAAGCAGACTAGGTGGGGATGATCCACACCCAAAAAGTGGGAAGGTGAGATCCAATCAACTGGATGCCAGGACAAATACAGAAGGTAGACTGGTCTCTACTGAGAGCTGCTGCCCTGGGTACCAGATCAAGAATGGCTTGCACTGAATTCCAAGATTTACGTCACTGCCTCTCCTACCTGGGTTCTCAGGCTTCCGGCCTCGGACCGTGAGTTATACCACAGGCTTTCCCGTCTCTGAGTCCTTCAGTCACGGACTAAACCATGCCGCGTGCATCCCAAAGTCTCTAGCTTACAATAGCTTACTGAGGGTCTTGGCAGTTGCCATAACTCGTGAGCCAGTTCTCCTAATAAATCCCCTTTCATGTACCTTTACAGATTTACAATGGGTTGTCAAAAAGTCATGGCATATTTTTCTGCCTTTTTATGCAAAAATGCATCATGACTTTTCTGCAACCCAATTTTTCTTTAAGAGAGAGATTTTTTGGCTGTAGGGTGTGTGGACTCACCAGAGAGACAGAGAGCCAGAAAGTGAGAAATCACTCCCTCCCCAGGGGAATGGCCACACCACAATCCCGTCTCCTCCATTCTCTTTGGGATATTGGGCACACATGCACACACGCTCAGCCTGAGTCTTAAGCCACCAGGTCCGGGATGTGAACCGCAGTCAACTGTGTGAGTCCAGTGATGTAACCATTATGCCATCTGCTGATCCCCTGGCAACCCAATACTTTATTGGTTCTGTTTCTCTGAAGTACCCGCTTACACCACCAAAGTCATCTCAAGTGTCCAACTCTACATCCGGATCTTCTGGGTGGATTTATTAACTCAATATGGATTCTCTACCTCTTCTCTATTCACTGTCACCTGCTATTGATCATATCCTAGATTCATTAAGATGAATGTCTCTATTTTTTACCCCTAAGTTTTTGTCTTACGGCGTGTGCACTTGCCAGAGAGAGGGAAAGTGAGAAACCTACCCCCCCCCCGTGGGGGGGAGGGTGGTATGACTATGCCACAGTCCCTTCTCTTCCATTATTCTCTCAGGATTTTGGGCATCCACATATACACACCTGGCATAATCTTCAGGACTTAAACAACGGTCGGCCATTGGGAGTCCAGAGCCTTAACCACCCCGGCACCTGCTGGCTGTGAATATCTCTCAAGTAAATTAGTCTAAGTCATTAACTCACAGCTAGGAACAAAGATCTCATTAATTCGATTTCCAAAAACTCTATTTGTCATGAACCCCAGGCTGAAGAAGATCTGTTTGGTAAAAGGACATTGAAGTTAACCTGCAAGAAGTTCTTTACTCACACATCCTCTCTGTCAGTTTATTTTCTCTCCCACACTAGTCTGGAGGCAAATGCTCCACCTGAATCACGTACCTTGCATAAACCAGCCTTCAGGTATTTCCCACCACCTGATGGTTTTTCTGCCCCTTCTTCAAAATTCCCCAATTCATGTACCCACAAGGAGCCACCTTACTCTGTGAAATCTTCCACAACCACATATCATTTGACTTGTTGCAAAAACTCACCTTTGCACTTACAAAGTAATAATATAAAGCTACACAGGGCAATACAGAAGTAACTGTTTTTCTCAAGCTCTATTTTATCTTATTAAATGGACCCCTTCTTAGATACAAGAAAAATGCTTCATACTTGTTTAGAGCTTTAAAGAACACGGCACCGTGCTTATGAAGTTGCAGACAGCGAACACTTACTGAGTACAATAAGCATGTATCAGATATCCACATACCTTGCCTGCCAGGCGGCTGGAGATGATGCCATTGCTAGAAATAAGACAGTCAGCCAGAGTGGTTTTTCCTGTTAAAATAAAATAACACTAATTAGAATCTACATTTTTTTTTTTTTGAAGGAATGGGAGGGGGAGGACTATATCTACAGATTTAGTATCTGTTGTAATTTTTGTATTTACCCGAGTAAATAAGACAAGGGGCATTCTAAAGAGATTCATTAGACAATTGAACAAAACATCACCTGGAAGAACACAGATGCTAGCACTCTATCGTACTGAAATCTTATCTCCAACTCCATGGACCTCATCAACCTCACATGAAAAAATTTCATACATTTTTTAAGCACAGAACTGTTCTTAAACTGAGGTAGACTCTATATAGAGTAAATATGCATAGACTTTTACATGATGAAGCAAACCCTTATGCCAATGAAAATACTTCTTTTTATTTATTTTTTTTCCCTTTTGCATTTATTTATTTATTTACTTGAGACGTTTTTGCTATAGGGTGCGTGAGCTCACCAGAAAGACAGAGAGAGACAGAAAGCGAGAAGTCACCCCTGTGGGAGATGGCCACGTCACAATCCCTTCTCCTCCATTCTCCTCTTGGGATCTTGGGCATACACGCACACACACCTGGCGTGAGTTTAAGCCACTGGGTCTAGGACTCGAACTGCGGCCACCTACATGGGAGTCCAGCAACATAGCCATTACACCAACTGCTAGTCCCCCAATGAAAATACTTCTGACGAACAGCTCTTTCATAGTTACTACAAGGCCTCGGCCTCCCAGCTGGTACTACAGATGAGAACAACACACCCAGCTCTTTCTTGGATGAGGTCTCAGTATGTAGCCCAGGTCGGCCTCAATCTCGTAATCTTCCTGCCTCAGCCTCCCCAAGTTGCTGACATTACAGGTGCATGCCACTGCTCCTGGCCTGGAGGTAGACCAGGACTTGAACCCAGGCCTCCCATGTGGTCTCAGATTGTGGGGCACCGAGTCTTAGCAGTGCATGTCACCACAGCTAGGCCAAGTATATCACAACTATCATGTGAATCATCCCATTTCCCTAACAGTGACCAGTCTTGTCACTTTCTCTGATAACTCAGAATGACAAAAGAACAAAATAATCTCTGTCTCTACAAGGTATACTGGGCAAAACAGCACTGAAAACAAGAGGATGCAGTATTCTGCTGTATGTCCCCATGCAGGGCCTTAGTTGGCATCTGCCAGTTAAACTGGCTCAAGAAAACATTTCACAAAGACATTCAGAAAATTGAGCCAGATCTCCAACTGCCTGCAGTAAAGCCTGTGGAGGGCACCAGCTACCTTGGGCTACCAGTGCAACCTAGAATCCAAACCTAAACCTGGGATTCTGCAATAAAAGAAATTCCTTGTATATTCAAGTCTACAATCAACTGACAATAACTGCTATCTACACAATTTCAAGAGGTACCGTCAGACAACAGTTTACAGAATGCCACGGGTATATGTAAATATCACAGCAGAGGAGGAGTAACAAAGGACGGCTTTTTCCTTCAAACAAGTCCTTACCAAACTCTAAGAACCTCACCAAAGCTATGGGATCTGTGTAATAGTTCAAACCAGAGACCAGTCAGTAGGAGCACTAAAGACCTTTCATACTGCGTCACCTGGGCCCCTGTGGACACTCTATGTCAGCAAATGTGCTGAGAGCAGCACCTTCCTGTTACCCACGAAAGCACTATTCAGTCTCAGTATGGAAGGCATCGATCCCCCTAAAATGAAGTATCAAAAAAGCTGGGGCTGTGCTTTATTCACCGTCATACTGCTAGATCCAGAACATGCCTCCCACATAGGAGACAGTCAACACAAATACCTGCTGAATGAATGAATGAATGCATCCTAGGCCTTCAAGGATATTCCCAGATCAACCTAATTTTAAAATAATTTGTTACACACACACATCACTGACTTGCCCCATGAGTCAATTCAAAAACAATGAAAAATACCATTCTTGGTCTTCATGTTCTCAAAATACGAACAGTGTAATTATGAAAACTCATGGGGGGGGGCAGGGATTAGTCACTGGATTTGTATTAAACTCATCCTCGGAATCAGCAGTTAGCGTATGTCACTGGACTCCCATGTAGTTGACCACGGTTCGAGTCCCAGACCTGGTGGCTTAAACTCATGCCAGGCACGTGTGCATGCGTGCCCAAGATCCTGAGAGGAGAATGGAGGAGAAGGGATTGCGGCGTGGCCATTCCCCCGGGGGGTGATTTCTCGCTTTCTGTCTCTCTATCTCTCTCTCTCTATCTTCCTGGCAAGCGCATGCGTCCTATGGCAAAAACCTCTCCAAAATAAATAAATAAAGGCTGAGGAATTAAATAGGAGCACATAGCACAGGCTCTGAGACTATATTAGTCAAGACTATAAATGTTTGTATACACAGCCATTGCAAAAACAAAACTTCAAGTTCTGGTTTAAAGAACAATGTGACATACCATAGACAAGAATGCTAATCACTAGTTAACTGTGCTCATTTGAAACGCTTTAAAACTTGTTTCTCTAAGTCATATAAAACTTTTAAAGGAAATAAGACGTGCTTCTTAGCAAGAATTACTCTCAACTGTCCACACCTTCACTCCACTGAGACAGGCAGACACACACCCTCTTTATTAATGCAAGTGAGCCAACTAAAAAGGATTCTTACCGTGGTCCACATGAGCCAAAACACAGATATTCCTGATGTTAGCAGTGTTTTTCTGGAGTTGAACCATCTTATCCAAGCTATTGAGCACCATGGCTACTTATTTCCTGTGACTAAAAATTAAATATGTATTACAAATGGCAGAAGGACTAAAAGGTCGGGGCAAAACAAACAATAATAAATGTGGGGAGCTGACAATACTTCTCAGAACCTTAAACGAAGAACCCCAACCAACATCTATTGAAAAGGGATACCCCCCGCGCAGCCCCAAGCCCGGTTTGCACACTAAACTCAGTGTCACGTTGGATTTATGCTTAAAGGGTTTGCTCCTCCTTCCGGATCCAAAGGCTGCGATGAATCACGAGCGGGCGCGGCTGGGTGCGCTGGGACGCCCCAACCCTGCCATGGACGCAGGAAAACTTCTCCAGGCCAGGGCGACTTCCAGGAAGGAGCGCATGCAGGAGGGCGAGAAGATGCTGCCATCTCCGCCTTCCCCAAGTCGCTCATTCATCCTCACCGGCTTTCCCCGAGGTGATGCCCCGGCTCTGACGCTGCCCAACGCGCCCGAACAAAGTTTTGGGTCACGTGCTTTTCAAGCAAGCAGGTGCATGCAGGCCTTTCATGTCTTTCCATGAGACATAAAAGAGGTAAAAGCTCCTTTCTGCCTAGCCTTCATGTCCCTTCGGGTCCCAGGTTGGCTTCAAGGGGTTCGCGTCCGCACGCAGAAGCGGCCGCCGGGGCCCGGGCTGGAAGCGGTAGTTCGGGCGAACGGACCCTCCGCCCTCCGCCCCCCGCCCGCGCTCGCCGCCGGCGCGTCCCCCCCCCCCGGGCCC